GACAAAGTGAGATCGAATTATTGATTTTGCGAAATAGAATATTACCATGGCTTTCTGAAGTCTCCGATTTGCTAATTAATTATCACTTGCTCTGTTTATTACATTGAGCTCTTGGGATTTATCCATACAGATTACCAATTAACTTATATATGTGTGTGTGTGTGTGTGTGTGTGTGTATACATGTATCATTAATGTGAGTAAAATTGTTACTTAGCTGATTGATGCTACCTTCTGCATCCTGATTCCAGAGCTTCATAGATGGGCCTGTTCGTTCACTCTTCAGTGGATATCAGCAATTTACTGCTTATATTTTATTCAATTTGTTCTTATACACATTTGGTACTGATATATATATATGTCGGTTTCAACATATGAGGATTTGATAACTTAATCAATTCAGTTATGAAATTTTGTGTGATAATCTTAAGTGGCACTTAAAACCTGTTAGTGATTTATGGAGCAAGAGTAAGGATTGTAGGATAAGATCACTGTTAGATTGGCTGACCTTTTAGATCTTGCTCTCACTTCTTGAAGATGATTCAGACAAGCTGATTGAAAACTGCTGAGTCCACTAAAACACGTTGATCTCCATTCTACCCACTCCAAGGCTATGTTCTCAAGGGTGTTATGAGATATATTGACAGCTGACAAGTTGCTTTTCAGCTTGTCTTTGTATCTAAGCCATAGGCATCCTACATTCCTGTAGCCATGATCTAACTGGCTGTACATTAGGATCTTGGGTATCCTGTCATCAGACATTCTCAAGATAGTCTGAGTCCACTGTAACAGACTGTATGAGAAAAGTCTTGATTCCTCCAATATTACATCTGTGAAACAGGTCTGTTAGATGTCCTATCTTGGAGATTAACTCCACAGATGGCATGCAGACAGCTTTTATGGAAAAAATCCAGCTGGCATATATGGTACCTGTATGGAGTCCACGACTCTGAGCTATACAAAAGGCTGACAAGGATAACAGCTCTGTAAACCCGAATTTTCGTATCCAGTTGAATGCCCCGCTCATTCCACAAGTGATGGTGAAGTTTTCCGAAAGCACTGGTAGCCTTAGCAATCCAATACATGATTTCATCATATAAAGTTCCACTGTAGTTGACTTTGCTATCAAGATAGGTGAAAGACTACATAGTTCAGGGCTTTGTCTTCTACTTTCAATATATATATATATATATATATATATATATATATATATCAGAGATTTACCATCTGGGTAGACAGTGTCTACCCTGAATAAAATAGACCAGCAGCTATATTTTCCTTCTGTGACACAGTATGCACCTAATGCAACAAAATTATGAAAGTTACTCTAATAATTATGCAAAATATTTTATTTTATTTTATTTTTTTATAGATTTACTACATAATGGTCAAAAGTTGTCTACCCTGAGTAAATACTGATGGCATGTGCCTAATATATACATACAGGATGTGATGGGTAAATTGTCGCCATTATATATTTTCATTTTGTGCATATGCGTTGTTTGTTTTTAATTTTGGTAATTGCACAGTATAGTAGGGTCAGTTGGCACTGCCTGTGAGAAAAAGAGCACCGTGATGCAATTCACTCAGCCAGAAATTCAGAAATAGCATACTGTACTGCTTGGCATTCATACCAGAAGCTTCAATACAAATATTTCAGAGTATTTGGGTGTTAATCTGAGGACAGTGCAGAAGATTTGGAAAGAGTTGGATGATATATCCAGTCAACATCATGGCGTTTGGAGTGATGCCACCATTCTTCTTCCCACAAGGCCTCAGACTCAACACAGAGGCCTACATCATGTGCCTTGTGGAGGTAGTGTTGCCCTGGGTCAAGAGGGTGGCTGATAGAAAACCCTATGTCTGACAACAAGCAGGAGAACCCAGTCATGTCTGTCAGACAATTTCTGCAACCACATCACCCCTTACATCTGCCCACCTAACTCCCCAAACTTTAACCCCATGGATTATTATGTGTGGGGTACAGTTGATTGAGACACAAACAAAACTCCTTGTAATACCAAAGATGAACTGAAGGTAAGGATTATGGCAGTATTCACCAACTTAAGGAGACCGTTCAGAAGAGTTGCAGGAGATTCCAAAGTCAACTGGAGGCCGTGGTTGAAGCCAATGGCAATCTTTATTGAATAAATTTACTCTTTTGTATTTCAAGTTATTTTTGTGTAATCTTGGTAAATGTATCTATTAAAATGAGATGTCAGTGTTATTTTCCTTTTTGCACAATTTAGACAACAATTTATCCATTGTATCTTTATATATATATATATATATATATATATATATATATATATGTTGTAACCTAGAAAGGGTTACTGAATAACCAAAAACAGAGGTTGGAAATGAAATGGTAATCTTTATAACATCAACAAAATACAATACTCGTCAGCGGTGTGAAGTAGGTAAACCACTGCTACTGTAGACTACTTAGACAGCATATTACCCCCACTTAGAATAGTGTCCAATGTATTTATGAGGATTGGGACATACCCATTAGTGTTCATAGGTATGGTATATAACATATATGTAAGAAAAAAAATAGGCAAAGCAACAGTAGTAAAGCAAAAAGTTAAAGTACAAATGGTGCTAACATGAAAAAGGAATAAAAACTTGAAGAAAAACAACAAAAATATCCCAGAATGCATCTGTATGATTTGTCTATAAATTTGACTGGAGAGGGATGTTTTTGCAGTTATTCCTACACAGATTGAAACTAACACTTATTTAAAGCTATATGAATCTCTACTTGTAGAGCAAAAAAACAATTTGTATTTTCATTCTAATGTACAGTTCATTTGGATAAAATTATTTATTTGAAAATTGTAATAAAACAATGATTAATAATAATCAAGGCTTTTATTCAGCTAAATTATCTAGATATTAGAATGAAAATAGAAACAGTTTAGTCTGAGCCCTATTTATGAGCAGAAGCATTGCGTACAACTCCAAATAACAAGTTGAGTGCTTAATGTGTTCATAACTGGCTCCTGGGAGAAGGAAGTCACTCATGACTAGAAATTGAAAGGCAATGTACTAGCATATTTAGTTAATGATGTGACTAATTGTCAAAATAGTTACAAAATTGTTAATTAGCTATTCTAATAGACCAAATACATGGAAAAGAAAATGTAAGTCAAAACTTTCAATCAAATTTTGGTCAAATTCAGAGAATGCCTCACTCGTGATTGTACTTTGTTGTATGTCACAAGTCATTATGTTGATTGTGTAATGTTGATAACAAAGTTGAAGATTATTAACGGAAGGAAAAAAATCATTTTATGGTAGTTTAGTCATTGCAAGGTTAAATAAAACATTTTTTCTTTGTTTCAACCATTTGTACTCTCTGTCCTTGATCAGAACTTGGTGTCTAAAGTTTTAAGGATTTTTAGTTATTGACTCAGGATTGAACTCTGTGCAAGCAGTAACTGAGAAATAAGATGAGATATTCCTAGTCATGGTCAGTGGAGTTAGAAAAATCTACCCCCATATTTTAAAATCTACCCCCATATTTTAAAATCTACCCCCATATTTTAAAGGGTTTTGTTTGAAAATTTCATGAAGTTTACCTAAATTGGCAAGCACCTGATGAAGGCCAGTGGGCACAATGACCAAAATGTTGTGAAAACAACAAAGATGAAGACAACAGTCAACATATAAGTAATGTAAATAATGATCCCAGAAATTCCAACAGAATTTTTTTTTTCCTTTTGATCAACAATGTTAACTTTTTCTTGTTTTTAAAAGGCCCTATGACTATTTTAAGTAAAGATCAAATCTTATGAAAAAACTGTAGTCATTTATTCTGTTATAGTAAATGAAAAAGACAGAGCAATGCACATGTAAAATGGGCTCTACTATATTTGTATGTTTAGAGGTAGGCAACTACTGCTGGTAACATCACTACTGCTAATTTTCATTGATATGTTTTATTGCCATTTTGTTTTAAAATTATTAAAAAAAAATTATAGTTGCAGAAATTTGTTAAAATAAATTTAGTTATATATAATTTATTGATACATAGATAATTGTTTTTACTAGGCTAGTACAAGTATTTAAATAATTAGGTAATTGCTTTATTATTTACATTATTCAGACTATTGTCCTCATCTTTTTCACCATATTTATTACAATGTTTCAGCCGTTGTATGCTTCGGCCTTCTTCAGGTGGTTGGAATGTTGAACTTAACCCTTTATTTTGCTCACTGGGGTAGACTGTTCCAGTTCAGAAATATAGACAGATACTGTAAGTAATTGCTTTTAAATATAAGAATATTATTACGTATTCACCAATTCATATCTTGAATTAACTACTGACTCCTGGTTTTTATTTCTGATTTAATTTACAGGTCTGCACAAGCATATGTTGGCCTTGCGCCAGTATTAGGCTAGAGATGTTAAATGACTTGTTTGGCTCGTGACACTTTCTACTTATTGATTTAAGCTACCACATTGCTAAATCATATTACTTGTCCAACTAGTAGCCTCCTTGGGCAAAGTAATCTTTTTCATTTTAGAAGTGACTTTTTTTTTGTCATAATCTGATCATATTTTAATATTCCTTATTTTTAGATTTTTTTTTTTCTTTGTGAAAAATGTGTCCAATGTTGGTAATTGTCGTGTTTAATAATATTAATTTGGAAATATTACCAAGCTATCTTACACATAAGTCTACTATTCGTCCATGCATTGAATATTGCTGCCACATCTGATCTGTTGATTCGGCTATGTATTTAGAGATTGCTCATAAAATACAAAGAATCGGCAATGTTAATTAACCTGATCTGGCATCTCGGTTTCAATCACTTTCCACCACCAAAATGTAGTTTCCCTGTGCCTTTTCTATAAATATTTTCACAGTAATTGTTCTGATGATTTTTCCTCTTTTGTACCTAGACTTTATGAATTTAAGTGCAGTACTAGATTGGTAGTAAGGTCTCATCCTTTTACAGTTGAAATGGCTAGATCATTGTTATTCTAAAGGATAATGAGTAGAAATATTTGTAGGTGAGAATGTGGTTATTTTTTTTTTTAGTTATTGTATAGGTTGGTTGTTAAAAAAAAATAAAATGACCACATTCTGCACCATAATTATTTCTAACCAATAGCCTTTAGAATAATTTAAAATATGACCATTCCTGCCTAAACAATAACCGTTAGGATACTATAAAACCCTGAAAATGTCTTACCTTATTGCTCTTAATGCAACATTAACCAGCATAAAGAGTTGAACTACCACCCAACACATATGGCCTAAAGATTGCATGAAAATGACTGTCACCACTCAGTGTTGATCTCGGTATATCCACTCTTATATTTACACTCACTCTGTCCATGATATTGAGCACTTTTATCTACAAATATTGGTCTCAGATATGGACAAATAGTTAATCCCCAAACCAGAATCAAAACACTGTGAAAGTATGAAAATAGATTTTTATAGTAAAAATACCAGCAATACTTTTTTTTTTTTTTTTTTTTTTTTAATATTAATACATATTCCATTCATATGAACCTACCCTAAAAATCTTGTCAGCATTAAATAATCCACTGAGGTTGATATGCCATAAAACAAAATAAATCAAACCAAACCTATAAATATTGCATGCCTTAAAACTATACACATATATGTATGTGTGTGTGTGTGTGTGTAGGCTGATGGATAAATTATTGCTTAAATTATACAAAAAAGAAAATAACACTGACATCTCACTTTAACAGACATATTTACCAAAATTACATATCTTGAAATACTAAAGAGTAAATTTATTCAATAAAATAACCATTAGCTTCAACCATAGCCTCCAGGCGACTTCAGAATTTTCTGCAAGTGTTCTGGACAGTCTCATTGTTTAAGTTGGTGAATGCTGCCATAATCTTTGCCTCCAGTTCATCTTTGCTGTTACAAAGAGTTTTGTTGGTCTCTCACTCAGCTGCACCCCACCCATAATAATCAAGGGGGTTGCAGCCTGGGGATTTAGGTAGCCAGATGTAAGGGGTGATGTTTATGTATCCACCATTAGACTCCTCCAACTCTTTCCGAATCATCTGCACTATACTCAGATTGATACCTAAGCACTCTGAAATGTTCATATTGGATACTGTTTCCAAATATCTGGTGGAGTGAATTGCGTCATGGTGCTCTTTTTCTCACAGATGGTGTCCAACTGACCCTATTATACTGTGCAGTTGACAGAATCAAAAATGAACAATGTGTATGTGTGAAATTAAAAATATAAAATGGCAACACTTTACCTATTGCTCACTGTATATCTCCATTACCTGAAGATGGGTGAATTGCTTGTTCGTATTCTGTTGATACTGAAAATCATTATTTAGTCTTATACTGAATGTTATTTATTATATTTAATATTCATCAGGTATTGACGATGCTGAGCCACATAATTTTTCTTCATTTCTATTTTACAAGTACAATAAGTTTACAGAATTATTTAAATATATTTTTTTAATGACATGTTTAAACTTCTACTAAATAAAGTAAAATGTCAAGAACTTTTAAAATTTCTGTTTGAACACAATTCTATCAACCCATGCAGTCTGAGGCAACAACTGGCTGTCTCCTTGATCGTCATTGTATATGACGTGTCAAATTTGTATTGAAAAAATTCCTTGGTCTATGATGTTCCAACTATGATCAATGTATGAATATTTCAGTCTTTTTACTCATTTATATCCCAATCCAGCTTTTGTATATTTACCACAAAATATCCCAATATTTCCTATTTTTTGTCCTTAAAAAAACCCCAAAAAACAAAAATAAAAAAAACACTTTACTCATGGTGGCAAGGTCTCATCAATTTACAATAGAAATGGATAAATGTAACCATAAATTCTATGCTAAGAGTTTCTTCTATTGTACTTCTCACTTGTAGAACTTTTTTCTGGCTTCTTTCAACTTTGGTCTCCAATGATTTAAATGTAATACCAATTGTTATCTTCTTAGTTATTCTTTTATTGTCCTCTCTCCTTAAAGGTAGTTTTTCACATATTCTCTAATAATCGGTAACCTCTTGTGTCTTAGTAGTTTTATTGCTTTGCCTGCAGTGAAATGATTTAAAAAAAAAAAAAAAAATTAGATGTGATCATTTTCTTTTTCTCTCTTTCTCTCTCTCTCTTTCTCTCTCTTTCTCTCTCTCTCTCTTTCTCTTTCTCTCTCTTTCTCTTTCTCTCTCTTTCTTTTTCTCTCTTTCTTTTTCTCTCTTTTCTTTTCTCTCTCTTTCTTTTTCTCTCTCTTTCTTTTTCTCTCTCTTTCTTTTCTCTCTAATTTTTCTCTCTCTCTTTTCTCTCTCTTTTCTTTCTCTCTCTTTCTTTTCTCTCTCTTTCTTTTTCTCTCTCTTTCTTTCTCTCTCTTTCTTTTCTCTCTCTTTTTTTCTCTCTCTCTTTCTTTTTTTTTTTTCTCTCTTTCTTTTTCTCTCTCTCTCTTTTTTCTCTCTCTTTCTTTCTCTCTCTCTTTTTTTCTCTTTCTTTTCTCTCTCTCTCTCTTTCTCTCTCTCTCTTTCTCTCTCTCTCTTTTCTTTCTCTCTCTTTCTCTCTCTCTTTCTCTCTCTCTCTCTCTCTTTCTCTCTCTCTTTCTCTCTCTCTCTCTCTCTCTCTCTCTTAATCTTTTATTCTCGTTTTAGTGATTTTATAACTTGCTTGAAATAGTGACTTAAATGCAGGAAATGACTTTTGTCAGTCCTCCTGCTTCATGTCCAGTCACCTTCCATTTTTAGAATTGATGTTTGTATAAAGCGTTTTGACACATCTTTATTCTTATTTATTAGAGAAGCTTCTATTTATTGTGATCAATTGGTGACAACAATCTTTCAGATAACAATAACCAGTTGATAACATTAAGTAGAGGATAGAAAAAATTTGAAGAAATGATACACATTGTTACAAATTTGATATTATTTAAAAAAAAAACACGAAAGATTAATATAAAACTTATTGATTCTAATTTAGTGTTTTGAATTTTGATATCATAATAAAAACAAACATAATGCAGACTGATTTTAGATTACATTTTTATCTGTGTATGAAAAAAAAAAAAAACAAAAAAAACCCACCATTTAAATACAAACGATTTAATGGAGCATCTGATCCTGGTGACTAGCATTACACAAATCTCTGTCAATAAAATAAGTCCATTGAACATAGACAAAAGGAAAACTTTTTTGTGTTTATTCATATTATCCTTTTACAGATAATTTGTAGTTATATTTGAAATTTTAACATACATACACACATTATATATTAGGTACCTCTAAGAAAGAAAAAAGAAAAAGATACCTAAGGTTAGGTTTAAAATTAATTTTTAAAAATGAAAAATCTTTCTTGAAGCTTTTATTTTACTTTTAATTTCCCCCTAATAGATTAAATTTAATATTTCCAATAAGCAAAACACTTTGCTGTACAGTGTAACCCGGATATAAGAGAGTTGTCGGGACCGGATAAGAAGTCTCTTATATCATGGTTTCTCTTATATCCGGGTTTGGTCTATTTTATATACATTAACACAGGCTCTAATTTGGGACCAGAGAAAATCTCTCTTATATCCGGGTTTCTCTTGTATCCGGGTCTCTTATATCCGGGTTACACTGTATTTCAAAAAATTAATTTAAATTAACTAGAATGAGTTTTTTTTTTTTTTCTTTTCTTTTTTGCTAAAATATCTGGTTAGTGCCATTTTCTAGTCTTTCATTGCAGTGTAATTCTCTTTATTAAAAAATCTCCCAAAAATAAAATATACTATTCTGAAATTTTATTTCAGGAATATTAGCTGATTTAAAATAAAATTAATGTGATTTGAAACAAATATCATTTACCCTGTTTAAAATATTGCAGAAATGCAATTTTTAACCAGACAGTAGCTGTGTTGAGAGCTTGATGACAGGTTTCATGTTGTTCTATGGAGACTTTATCCGTAAAAGATAATTTAAGAAAATAATGTAAATGCCTTTTTTTAAGTCTCGGTAATCTTAAAGATTTAGGAAAATATTATTCATAATCTAATGTTTTATTAAATTTTAGAAATGTTGACTTTAAACCTTTTCCATTTATGATTAACATTTTAACCTTAGGCACTAAAAATCCCTATACTAAGCTTTGTCCCATGAGCTGATGCAAGAAAAACATGATTTTTAACCAAAATTTTGAATGTGCCAGAAAGGATTAAGAAATTTAGTAAAATAATAAATACTTTGGTCTTTCCTCTTTATAATGACATAAACATGTTTACTTTGTTTTTATCAAGTTTGGGGCCTTTTTTCATCATGGTATTATCTTTTTTTAGAAAAACATTTTGTAAGTCCACATACACACACGTGATGGGATGATATCATTATTTTTACAGATTCCATTACAATTCCTTATACTGTTCTAAATTTCTGATTCCATTTCCTACAATGATTAAAATTCATTATTTTCAGTTCTACAGTTGGTTTGGTAAACTTAATGGACAACGTACATTTATTAATAAAACATTTAGTAGAAAAATGAATACAAAAGCTTATAAAATAGTTAGATATCCTTTTTATTTAAAAAAATTGTGTAAGAGTTTAAACAAAGAATAATTTCTTTAAGTAAATCACTTAAGTACAAGCTACTCATATTTAAATATTAAAATTCTTAAAATATAATGTAAGAATATTATCATCTCACCTGTTTCGCCTTTCAGCTGATTTCTTTTTGGTAAGTAAATGTTACCCCCAATACTAAATAACTTTCACTTTCAACAGAAGAGGGAGGTGTTGATAGATATTTCTTAGCTGAAAGTGCCATGATGAGAAATTCATTTTTATTTGAATTCCACTACTGAAAAACATTATCATCACTTGTTATATTTTTAATGCAATATATTTTTTCATTTCAATTTTTAATAAATATATTTCTTTGCTTGTTTCACTGATTGCTTTATCCTGTATTCTCGTACACAATGGCTCCCCCTTTTTCCTTCATCACTTTTTTTCCTTTTAATTCAGTGAAGCACTTTGTAAAACTGAAATTAAAAGTCACTATTATTATCACTTTTCTCTTCAGACATGTTAGATGAGTCATTTTCTATGCCTTGTGATACTTTTGTTTTTCCTTTGGTTATAGAATAGATATCTTAATTGAACCATTCTGCAATAACCTTGTCATTTGGCAGGTCACTGTAGTTATTTTCAAGGAAACCACTTTTGAACCTGGGATATAGATACGTTTCTAAAATAAGGTTTCTGTCTTCAGAGTAGATGCTAAATCTAGTATTAAAAGAAGCTAACCCATCAAACGGTCTCTTTTTTTTTCTTTCCTTTTAAGAAAAAAGTGATAAATGACTTTAATCTGTAGTATAAGAGGCAGTTGCTTTATTACTTAATAAATTTGTACAATCAATCTAATTATTTTCAGTAATTTCTCTAAAATCTTCCATTGGTTGGATTCTAACTAATGTGGTTTTGCATGATCATTGCAATAAGATAAAAGCACTTTCGTTTTTGTTCAAATACTTTAGACATTATATAATACTGACTGTTCCATCTTGTCTGGACATCCTGAATAAATTTATGATCTGATAAATTAAATTATTTTTCTGTTATTCCTGGTACTTTGCATAAGCTGCAGATGAGTGATTGAAGTGGCCAACTATTTGTTTACAAATAGAAAGCATATCCTTTACATACCTTTTGTGCAAAGATGGCGTCATTAATGGTCAACTGCAAGGTGTCTCGAATACAAGGTAATGACTCATATTGGGCTTGTACACCTACTTCTGCCATATTAGCTGCATTATTATCTCTTAGGAGAACATGAATTTTACTATGATAAATATTAAATTGCTGTACTGTCTCTGTGATACATTCCCTTATATTTATTGCTGTGTTTTATACTTTTAATGGAATAATTCTTAGAACTGTTTTTTTTTTTTTTCAAAATTTGCTGTGATTCAATGAGATCTTACACTTAAAAAGGATAAATTTGCTGAAGTAGCTGTCTAGCCATCACTAGTCGGAGATTAATGAGCAGCTTTATCTTATTTCTAATCTTCTTATATATATATATATATATATATATATATATATATATATAATCTTGCACATTATTTTCATTTATATACTTTTGAGAGGAAATTTGAGAACTTGGATGTATATGGTTCAATAGTCTTTTAAAAGCAAAGGTTATTTACAATAGAAAAAGTTTGCAGGTCAATTGCTATCATTTTTCCAGTACATTTATGTTTTTTTCCAGGCTTTGCTGTCATTTATATCCCAAGTTTTACTTTCATCTCTTTTTTCCTTTTCTTTTCCTTTTCTTTTCCTTTTTCGAATTCTCTGCCATGATTTGTATTTAAGTCTTTCAATATATTTTTGTTGTTGCAAAGAAGGTAACTTTTGCTCTTCTAGCAATTTACATATCACACAGTTGACATATTGCTTTACTTTGGTCATCATCAGAAATCTTTAAAAAAAAACAAACAAACTTCCAAACCACACTTTTCTGTTTGGTATTGCCATAATTGGGTTCTGAAAATAATAAACCTTGGTTAAAATTTAAATTTTTCACTGTTATATAAAAAATGTTTCTAGTTTTCTAATGTGTAGAATTTGTAAAGATTCAACTAATAATGGTTTGCTATTAAAAAAAAAAAAAAGGGGGTCTTTTTTTTTTTTTTTTTTTTTTTTTGGTCCACCTTTTAAGTTTTAACAAGCAAAGGCACCCTCTAAATATTATGCAATTTCCTTAAAATTTTATATGTGGCATTTTTCAATGACTGGAACAAATTTAAGGGTGACAGTTCAATTTTAGCATGCACTTAAAAAAAAATAAGATACAACCTTATATATATATATATATATATATATATATATATATATATATATATATAATATTTCAACAATAATACTCCAAGCAGAAAGACATAAGCCTATGCATTGTGGTTTAACTCGTGCATATATTTTGATAAAGTACAAGAAGTACCTAATCCTGCAGGACAGTGAATAAAATAAACGTAAATTTTAAATTTGCTTGCAGGCGTTTAATAAAAATTAAATTATCACAACAACTTAAACAAATAATGAAGGCTCTTCAATCTTATCTAAAAAAAAAAAAAAAAAAAAAAAATTAATTGCTAATAAGTTTTACTGTCTAAAATAAATTTCTGACGGCTAAAAAAGTTAATAATTTCTAAAAAGAATCAGTGTTTTCATTTTGTTAAAAGAAAAGAGTAAAAGTGCAACAACAGAGTAAAAATATGTCCCTTGATTTTTTTTATTTTTATTTTTTTATTTTTTTTATTTTTTTAAAGAGATATAAATCAATTTTAGCAAAATTTACAATAAATGTAAAAAAGTATTAGGAAGTTGAAAGCTAAATAATGCTGTTATCCAACTTGATCATTTTACAAGTTATGAGATTCTTAACTGTTACAAATCATTAGAATAAAAGTAAGATTAGAAATGATTAAAATTCTCATAAGGATGAGAACAATTATGTGTATTTTTGTATGGGATTGAGTTTTTTTTTTTTTCCTTCAGTTATTTATTAGATTATTAAAAGATGAAATTTTACTAGTTTTGTTTTAAACATATTAAAACAAAACGTTAAAACTGGAAAAAATCTATAACTTAATGTCATCAGATCAAACAGGATAAAAATACTCATTTTTAACTTTTTTTTTTTTTTTTTATACATGTCTACTTGTAAAAAATAAAACTTACATCTCGTTTGGCTCTGAGGAGGAATAAATAAGAAAAAATGATCAAAATATTTTAAATGCCATAATTCAACACAGGAAAGTTCAATTATGCCAAAGAAAAATTTTTGATTTTGAAATTAAATTTTAGTGTTTTTAATACAAATTCATATGTGAAATATTTTTTTTTTTTCTTCAGGAAACTTCAGATAAGAGCTTCTTTTATTTTTTTTTTTTTTTTTTTTTTTTTTTTTTTTTAAAAGTAAATAAAGATGAAAATCCATTTCAAAAGCAATAAAACTTTATAAAATACATGAATTTTGTAGAAACAGATCTAATTTTTGTAAAAAACATGTTTACTTTCTTAAGTTGAAAAGATTTATTTTTGTTTATGTAGTATGCTATGTAAACAAAAATAAATATTTTCAATATCTAGGATTAAAAAATGATTTTATGAATTAAAACTATTATAAAAACAATTTATGTGAAAATATTTTCAGTAAGATTTATATTGAAAAGTGTATGAGAAACTGTTGTAATTTCACCACAAGGACAATTTTTTTAATGTGAAGAAATCAAATGTGACATTGGCAGGAATTTCATACATTCATTTTTTTTCTTTATAAATTAAAAAAATAAAATAAAAATTGTCTTAAAACAGAGCAGCATAACAACAACATAAATTCATTTTGTGTTTATATTAGATAATTTTGATTATAATTAAATTAATACTTTTATAATAAATGGGTTAATTAACAATGTTTAAAAAGAAATTAAAAATTTTATTTTGAACTGAAACTAGACATTAAACTAGCAAACTTTATGGAAAGTTTGAGAACCGAGTAGAAACTTACACTTTTTTTTTTTTTTTTTATACAAAATAAATTTACATCATACTTGGGTGTTAATATGATCTATAGATATTAGTTTTACTGATGGTTTAAAATCAAAATATATATCTTTTTATCACTAGTACCAGAAATAGAAAATTAAGTTTTAAACAAAAAAATTCAAAGAATTGGAGATAGATATCATCATCATCATCATCCCTTTGACTTTCGTAATCGTAGACGGCTTCCGAATGCAGAAGCCACAATAAATCTCCTCTGCAATGGTCTATCAATGGCAGCCATCAGCAATTTTTCTATACCTCTCCATTGTTTGACATACCCCGTCATTGTTTGAAATTGTCCAACCAGTTTTGACGTTGACATCAACCTTCAATGTTGCTTTGCATGATGGTTTGAACAGGCTGTTGTGCCTTGTAATGTGTCCAAACCATAACATTTTTCTGTTTGACAGTGGCGAGAATAGGTTACTAGTGGTGCTTTCAGCCCTTTTCCATACAAACTCATTGGTTTTATGTTCCCAATAGAAGATGCCAAGGAGTTTTCTCATGCATTTGTTCTCAAACACTTGGATCCTTCACTCTGTTTCTGTCAACAGTGTTCATATTTCACATACATCTAAGAGAATGGAGATTACCAGCAATTTGTACAGTTTGAAACTTTTGAAAGTTGATTTTGCTCCTCTATATTCTTGCCAGTTTGACCATCGCTGTGGCAATGTGTGTGCAGATTTCAGAGTTGCAGGTACCATCTTTAGACATGATTGCTCCTAAGTGTTTAAAACTGGACACTTCGTCCAGTGAATTCCTGTTCATGGTAATGTTGACACAGACTGTACTATTCACCATCACTTTATATATAATTTTTTTTTATGAGGATCTTTTTTTTTATCTGACATTATTTGCTATTACTATAAACATTATTTTTTGTAGGTAAACCTGTTTTTCACTGGCTATCACTTTATTTTTTTCTTAAGTCTGACTTATCACTCTTGACTGGTTGTTATCAGTTTCTCCGTTTCAGAAAATAAAACAAAATCAGGGATAGAAACTCTGAACAAATAGAAAAAAAATCTTTTTAAACAATTACTATTGCTTACATTTCCAGTTTCTGCCTTCCTCAGGAAGCTTGAGATTCAACTTTTCACTTTGTTTTAATTATAATTTCTATTTGTATTTCTTTTTTTTAAAGCTTAACTTTTTTTTTTTCTATTTAGGAATGGAGTCCAGAGCCAGGGGATGTTGTTTTAGACTCCTGGGTTGGCCGAATTGATGTTGTGAATGTTATTGTTACATTGCGGTTTCCAGATGGTGCCAAGTGAGTAATCCCCCCCACCTTCTATGATTTCTTTTATTGATGACAGGTTAACATAAAGAAACATATTAGATTGTTTATTCAACACATGTTAAACCCATCTATATCTGGTTATAGAGCACTTAATTATTTTAACAAATGTCCTTCACACGTGTTCACAAATGTATAGTAGAAGACATTCAGAACACACATAAAGATAAGTGGAAAGAGTAACACTCTTAGAGATAGAAATGTTTGATATAGATCAGGGAACAGATAATAAACTCTTTATGTGTCATGTCCCCCTCAGGATGTAGGTGATCATGGCTCTCCACAATTTCCTGTCCTTTGTAGCTCTTAATAAATTTTGTCTTTTTGTTATTTCTCTTAAACCATCCATTTACTCAAGCTCACTATGTTATGCATTGTTTTCCTCTGCCCCTTCTTGCCTTCAATCTGTCCTGTGAGTATCATATTTTCCAAGCCCTCTTTCCTCATTATGTGCCATAGAAATTTCAACTGTTTCTTCCTGATGTTAAGTATAAGTTACCTTTTTGTTTCCATTTTCTCTAGAACTTTGTCATTGCTCACATGATCAGTCCTTATTATCCTTCTGTAGAACCACATTTCTGTTGGCTTCAAGTCTCTTCATCTGTGAGGAGATTGTTCAGCATTCATATAGTCGGACAGATAACACATAATAGTTCACTACTCTTTTCTTTGTTTCTAACAAAGTTTCTCAATAAACTACTTAGATTTTGGAAGGAATATTTGGCTATCCCAATGTGCCTTTGGATTTCAATGTTGCACTTTTCTGTCTTCTGTTAAAGAACTTCCCAGATATTTAAATTCTTGTACTTGTTTCATTTTGGTATTTCAGATCTGTAATTTGCATTTTGGGCTCATCCTTTTACTAACAACCATGCATTCTGTCTTCTGGCAGTTGATGCTTAATCCTTTTTTATCACTTTTCTTCACTACTTTCTGTAGGTGTTTTTGGAATTTTCTTTCCATGTCTGCGATCAACATTGTCATTATGCTGTTAAGATTGTGTCCACCAATAATGAATCTTGGTAGGACTCCCAATTCTCTCAGAATCACCACATTATATTGGTTGAATAAGTCTGGTGAGAAGACACATCCTTGCCTTATGTCCCTTTCTATTTTTGTATATCTGCTGAGCTCATTTTCTGTCCGTATGCAGGCGGTTTGCTGCCAGTTATTGGATAATGGAATATCAGTGTTTAAATAATAAAAATGGAGGTGTCTGATACACGCAGCCAGAAGAAAGGATAAAAGATGGAACAAAAGCATGTATATCAAATTTGGTTTTCAAGAAAAATGTCTGTATTTAAAAAAAAAAAATTTAAATCCATATTTACATGAGACAGGAATCATTGGTACATAGTGATTTTTCCAAGCATAGCTTAGATGTGGCACAAGGCCGAAAGTAGGGGCACTCAGTGAGGATTGAACTCCCTACTCAGCCGTAATTTTTCTAGCGAGACAAGCTTGCAAACCATTACATCACCTCAAGGTACCCGCATAGTAGTGATTTTCCAAGCGTAGCTTGGATGTGGCACAAGGCCGAAAGTAAGAGGCACCCAATGAGGTTTGAACTCACTACTCAGCCGTAATTGTTCTAGCGAGACAAGCTTGCTCACTATTACACCACCTGGAGGTGCCCCAATCCTTAGTTATATAGAAAATGTTTAATGGTCAAAATAGGTTTCTTTTTAGTAATCTTAGATCTTTTTGTGGGTCTTTGTTGTATTTGCTTTCTCATTGGATTATTTCTGATTTTTTTTTTTAAATCCACTCCACCCATGATGTATTTACTAAATTTATTCCCCACTCCTGGAAGCTGCTGATTCAATATTTTTTTTTTTATGATACAAAATTGAAGCAGTCTCAAAGAATTGCAAAAACAACATGATCATCATTAATTAATCATAGCTAAAGATTGGAAGCTCATGAAATAAAGATCAAACATATATTATTCCAGGATCATTTTACAACTTAATCAAGATAATCTTTGCCCTCTCTACCCTAACTTTCTGTCGTAGAGTAACAAGGTGCATCACGCATTTCATGTATGATTTCATTTTCAAGTCTTTTTTCACTGCTCTTTAGACTCTCAAACCTGAAACTCATCTCTCAAGTGCCAAATTGAGTTAGATCTTTTCTAATTTCTCTTTATCCCTAAGTTGAAAAGATAGTCCTTCTTCCTGTTGTCACCTCCTGATCCAGTTTTCCTCTTTTAAATTTATTCACTATTCTCTTGATGGTTCTTGAATGGACTTTGAAGATGGAAGCCAGAATATGAATGTTGGTACCATTACTGAAGGCCAGAATGGTCTTTTTCCTCTCACCATTGCTCAATTGGTAAAACATAGTGGGGCTGGCACAAAATGATTTTAACCTGTTCTCTTTCTAGCTGAATAACTCTAGTAATACTTAAGACAAATGTTGTCAAGATGGCTAAACATCCTATCTGAAAACCTTAGGTATTTATATATATATATATATATATATATAATGGACTCTCCCATCAGTTTCAATGTATGAGGATCTGACAGCTTATTGATACAGTTATGAAATTTTGTGCAATAATCTTAAGTGGCATTTAAGACCTGCTAGTGATTTACACTTTTTGGAACTATTGATACACTTAGTCTGTGCAAATGAATTCCACAGACGAAGCAGACAATATACCTCAGGCTTTTCGTGTAAGAGTTTTCCATCTCCTAGACCAATCGTGTTCTATAACACTAAAGAGCTTGGTCAGCCCTGGTAGACACTATTTTCCCATAGTTGGGACCCTAACATATATATATATATATATATATATATATATATATATATATAAATAAAAGGTATGATGGCCATGATTTTTTCCTCGGCCCTCATCTAACAGAAAACCAGAATAAACTCAAACATGGATTTATAGAACCAGTAATAACTATTTATAAGGTGGAACACTTGTGCTGTGGAAAAGAAAAGGGATGAATCTGTCAGAGCAATTTGTTCTTTGTGGGAACAGCAAGCATTGATCATAAATCACATGAGTAAGCTTGTGGGAGCTGATTTGGTTGTAGTATATGAAGCTTGTATTTAGAAATACATCCAATTATCTATTGGCGGTGTGTTAGTTCTTGTGTCAAATTCCTTGTTCTGGAGTTGTGATGTGTCATTGTTAGTCCATTGATGTTGTTGCTTTATTTGTTAGTAAGTATACCACTCTGACTACATTTTAATTTCCCTCTGTTTATATTGATAGTGATAGGTTCACCTTGAACAAAATTTTATGATGCTGAGATTATCATGGATCAAACCCGTGAGCCACAACAAAGTTTTAGAGAAAATGGAAACAAAAAGGAAACTTACACTTAATATCAAGAAATGGCAGTTGAAATTTCTGGGACACCTAATGAGGAAGGAGAGCTTGAAGAATCTGATACTCACAGGACAGATTGAAGGCAAGAGAGGGAATAAAAGAACACATAAAATACTTAGTGAGTTTGAGTGAATGGATGGTGAAACAGCGTTTAGGAGAAATAACAAAGACAAAATTTATCAATACCTATAAGGGACAGGAAGTTGTGGAGAGCCATGTTTACCTATGTCATGAAGGGACATAGCATATAAAAAGCATCTTTTGTTTGATTAAGGGAATGTTGAATCCTTAATTCTGATTTGCTGGTTTTGTTATTTTACTGAGATCATGGCTCCAAGAAGTTGTATGGGTACTGCGGCAGCCACATCCTGGTCAACGGGAATGTCGCTGAAGGGTTTCTCAACCTGGTGAAGAGGAATGCCTCTCCCCAACCCACTTCTGGCATGCCATTGCACTATTTTGTGATAAATGACAGCATGAACCTCAATTACAACAGAAATATGTGTGTGTGGGGGGGGTGAGTGGTGACCACAGTAGCTCAAAATGTGCTAGCTGAATAAATAAATGAATGAATGATTGATTTTGCACCTGTCTATATTTCTGAGATAAGGTATTGTAACTATTTACATTGTTTGGACTGTTGTCCTCGTCTTTGTCACCATATTCACAATGTTTCTATCCTGATGGATGAAATAAGGGGTTCAGTTCAAAGTTCCAATCACCTGAAAAAGGACAGTGTACAAAAGCTGAAACATCGTGAATATGGCAATAAAATGATGACAATAAAATGGGGGAGCAGAGTGGTGACTGCTAATTTAAATCAGATGCATTTATTAATGGCCCCAAAGAGCCAATTTTTCTCATATGAATTAAAGACTTGAGGCAACATAGATGGTGGTGGTGGTGTTCTGCACAGAATATCATAGATGAAATATATGAGTAATGAGGAAGTCCTTAGGAAAATGGAACCAAAATGGTGCTTATATTTAGAATCAGAAAAAGTTGGAATTCCTAGAATACATAATGAAGAAAGAAGGCTTGGAGAATTTGACACTTACAGGACACGTTAAGGGGAAAACCATGAGTAACCTAGCTAATGAGCTTGTGTTAATGGATGACTGAACAGAGAGTGGGAGGAATAGTAAAAAGACAAACATTTCTAAGAGCTACAAAGGATATGATGATATGGTGAGCTATGATCATCCATACCATGAAGAGACATGGTACAGGGCCAAAGAAGAATATTTGAGTGAGAGAAGTGTTTGGAAAAATAATCTCCAATCATCCAAGATTGAAAGGTCTGCCTGCTTGCCACTCTTGAAGCTCAGCTTTTGAGATACTTGTTATTGTTGAAAAATGCAACACTTTCAATTTTGAAATATATCCACTTTTCCAAAAATGTAAATGAGTGGAATTGATGGCCTCCCTTCCTTGTTGGGAATGTTTTATTTGTGTTGCCAATATATGTTTTTGCTATATAGTAGACAAGATGATTATATTGATTGCACTTAAATTTCTTCAGGATTATTAGTTTTATTATAATAGTTTTGATAATCACCATCAGGGTGTGGTTATGCACAGGCTTTTTCATGAAATTATTTTGTTTTATTTTCTTCCCTGTGAGTCT